CGGAGTCCATTGTTCAATTAAAACGACGTAATTTTGTTGAAAACGCCCGCAGCTTTTTACTCACGGTATGCGTCGGAAAACCTCCACATTTTGAAACAGAACGAGGCAGATTTACTTTTAAAAACGCTCCCAGCGTCCTCCCGGACCAGTTTGACTGGATCAGCTGACGACGACGGGACTTATCTGGTTGAACGTCAACCCCACAACAACCAATTTGCGCTCCGGGTTAGCACCGCATTACACACACCACGAACGTTTCAGCTCTGTCGCATCGCCGTGTTGCACCAAACAGAACGAGATCGCCGAAACCAAAGCAGCGCTGTCGTGAACCTTGGCTTGTGGTTGCGCACTCGTGGATTCTGTGACTCCCTTCGCTTTCAAAGCGCGCACGACGATTACGAACGATACTTTTCGTCTTCCGGGATCATCACAGGGGCACTTCTAGGGTCACGTCTTCGCTACATGTGCTCGCAAACCGCGTCAAACCATAACAACCAAAACAATACCGCGGCCTGGCGTCGTTGCCAGATCTTGCCGGAAGTCGAGACGCTGCGTCGTTCAACTCCGCAACGCAAGGAGAGTGAGGGGCGGGGCGTACTCCTCTTCCGCGGGGGTCGAAAGAGCGGGAGTTTCAAATGTGGAGAGGTTCTGACTCTACTAAATTACGTCCTGTGGCGTAAATATTGATAAAAAAAAATCATTTTTTTCGCGGAACATTTGTTTTGTGACATGCTTGTCCCAATTAGGCTGTTTAAAAAAAAACTTTTTTTCTTTGCAGTTACCCTTTAAAACCACACCTTATGTTTGCGATTTTTTGGGGGGGAAACTCTATGAAAACAAAAGGCGCCTTTGGAAAGGCGAGCGAAGAACCTTTATTGTACCAACTTTGGGCTTAAATATGAGTCACCATCGGCAAAAAAAGCGATGTTTTCACGCGCTCAAGCAAAGTCACCGTAGCTAAGTGGAGCTAGCAAAAGGATTTGGATGCTCGAAAGAATGTTCACGTTTGCTCGTGCCACACCCACGCCACTTCATACCGAAGAACTCGGAAAATGGCGGAACGTCAAAAATGTATTTAAGATAATGAGTACAAGGTACTCGGAATTGTAATTGAAATAGAGTATTAAGTACTCTCAATCAAAGGTATTTGCAAGATACCAAGCACTTTAAAAGTATTTGAAATACAGTATCTTGCGTAGAGTATTTGAGATAGGCACAAGTCTGGTCTCCATAAACTATAAAATTCTACGAGGCACGGAGTCGGCCGATTAGAACATTCCATGTTTAATTGGTATAGGCGGTGCAACATAAAATAAGAGACGCGGTAAATAAACAAAATATGCAATACTATGGTACGCACAAAGTTCTTTAATCGAACACTCCTCGAGAAAATAAACATTAACTCGGCAGTTATTTTAGGCGAAAAAATTTGTGTAAACGGCGATAAATATAAGAACAGGCCGCACCGAAATAGTTCTAGTCGACAACGAATATCCGTGCAAACCGTCTTTAAGGAGAAATTCGCAATGGCCTTTCCAGAAACCAAACAGACACAAACGGTGGTGCATGTAAAAATATTAATATTTCACGCCTGAAAAAACAACGATGCAGACGTTTCCTCCATACTTACACAAATTTTTCGCTACTGTCTAAAACGAACTATGCACACGAGATGACGCAACGCTGTATCCCAACAAAGCGCGGCTTCCTCAAGCGCTCGGCCACCGCGCGAAAGGAGTCGAAGCGAAACAAACCAAAGATGGTAGTGCCAAACTTTAATAATAAGCTGACGCCCTGTCCGGCACTAAGAAGGGACCTGATGGTCGAAAGGGACCAAAAATTTTTCTCACTCTGAAACGTGACGGCTGGCTCCGGAGCGGCAGAACACGGCAGCAATTGTGGCGGTGTTTTAAAAGTCGCGCGACCCGGGGACTCCCTTTCCGGAGGTGCAATATGGGGCACAGCGGGGCTTCGGCAGCCGGCGGGGCGCAGCGAGGCGTCATGTACGGGCGGGCCATGTGGGTTGATATTATTTAACGAGCCAGTTCGGTGAGGGGCGCGCGTTTTCGAGTTCGGTGAGTTCATGAGTTGGGTGAGGCGCGTGAGTTCTATAGGTTTATGAGTCCGATGAGTTTATGAGTTTGTGAGTGAGGACTTGAAGTAGAGTGCGGTCGTGACAGTGAGGGTGAGCGAGTTTTCACTTTTTTTCTTTTGAGCTGCCTGTAAGTCCAACCATTAATGCTGATCTGTGCTCAGTACATAAGCTGGCGTTCTCTAATTCAAACTTTCTTCAGACCCCTCATATCAGAGTCTCTTAGTTAAAAAAAAAAAAAAAAACAATCACCATCTACGATTTATAAGGGGCATTCTTTATTTCATGTTGCGCTATCTGCATACATCTGTACATTATTCAGACACATCACCGTATTCTCCGAGACGAGATAAACCCCTGAGAATAAAGGAAAGACGCGAACCACGGGAAAGATAGAAAACTTAAACGCACCGACCAGCTTATTATAGAACTTATAAACCCTACTGAAAATTCCATCAAGGTACGTAATTTGGGACACTGACTGCCAGTCAGCAGCCTTGGTGGAAAGTGATGGACCATCAGACGTCATCTGATGGTCCATCAGATGACGTCTGACTGCCACTGCCAAGGGATTTTCATCAACAAGAACCGCATTTATATAAGAGTAAAGCTATACGCACTCATAAATATCGCCAAATGCCTCGATAAAACAAAATGTTCGAGAAAAAAAAAAGAAAAAAAAAAGCACGGCTACCGCGGATTGAACCCGCGACCACTTGAGTACAAATCGGATGCCAACGTTTAGGAAACACGATGTGACCATTCGTTTTAAACAAGACACTTCGGCTGCAAATGCAGTTGAGCCGTCAGCATGTTATGCAAAGCACTCGTACATCACTCGCCGTACTTCAGTTCTACTCACCTGCCATGTAGAGTACTTTCGCGTCGTAGAACGATCCTTTTGTTCGCGCGTCACCGGCCCAGTAGATCTGGTACACCTTATCGTCTTCAACTACACCGTTAAGTACCTTACATCGTCGGAACTTACAACAGGCTGGGTCTTGTCGAGTAGAAATTCTACTAAAACATAAGACATTGTAGAGCCCGGGCAGGATCGACAGGTTGAAGCAAGCGGGAAAACAAAACGAGTCGAGAGCGATCGTTCATGAAAGCTCGGCGAAGTCTCTATGGGCGAAGCGAAGTGTCGTGTTCGGCGCTTCGGCGGGCTTCTGATCAAGGTTGTCGGTCGGTTGCGTGTCATACCTCTAACGTCAGCGGTTTTATGGGCTCACGTCCCGAAATCGTTTTCTCGTGCATAGATTACTTTTCGTATTTATAGATTTGACGAAATAGTGGTATTCGAACGAACTTTACGTCCTTTGACCGTACGTCTGTCTGTACGTCAAAGCTTTTTGACGTACAGTCAGAGAGAATCGATGTACAGTCAGAAACGCCACCAAGACATCCTAATGGCATTTCGCGGCGGCCGACTGCCACCAAGAAACCATCAGAAAGCCGATAAGCGGAGTCTGACTGGAGTTTGACTGTCGGTCAGAGTAACTTGTTGGCCAATCAGACATGCTTGACGTACAGTCAGGCGCAGTCAGCGGTCCACTAGAAAACATTGACTGCCAAGCAGGGTTACATTGATGGATTTTTCCTTCGGGAACTGCAGGCTCACAAACATTCTCATCACCAAAACATAGAAGAAAATATGACGTTATATAACCAGTCTATATGTCCCCGCAAGGATTTGCAAAGTGTAACCAAAACCGCACTAAATCTTCGGATTTTTCCTTTTTTTTTTTTTGCATGTTTAAAAATACATTTTCACATGTACACAACGCTACAAAGACGGCTCGCGTATGCAGCTTCTTATGCCTTGTATTCAGACAGATCTGTTCTTCCATTAGTACCCGTATGACAGAAAAAAACCTGACGGCGTCCGTCTGCGGACAAAACAGTCGATAGGGAAGTGCTCCGCTTAGTGAGGAAGAAAGTAATGAAGGACAAGGGCGAGAGGGAGGCAACGTCACTGGGCGGCAGCCAATGCGCGCGCGGGGTCTGGGGCAAGTCTGAACTTGCAGTTGTGCAGAGCGGGTATGCTTCGGTTTGCGCTTCAAAAATTAAAGGGAGATTCATTGGTAAAACATTAAGGAATGCGTTAGCATGACCCCTGGGAAACGCCACACATGTAACCACATGGAGAAGGCAAACACTGACCCCGTAACGAAGACGAAAAGAGGTATCAAAATATAGAGGAAGCAAAAAGAAAATTGAAAAAAGAAAGTCAAAAGAGAAAAGTGAAGTAGCCAGCGTTAGCGTTTCCCAAGGACCATGTTAAAGCATTCCCTAGGGATCCGCCAATGGATTGCACTATAACTTTTTATTTCCTTTTGTCAATGTATTCCTGTTCAGAAGCAAGCAAGGTGTCCTAAGTTTTTTTCGTGCGGTGCATTCCTCTAAAACCAGCACTATTCACAACTCAGGAGGAGACGGCTCCACCAAGCGCGAAAAACGCAAAGAAGGGAAAAGGGAAAGTGCCGCCTAACCAAGTGGACAGAGAAACGTGGCGCGGTCTGGCAGCTGCAAGGTGTAACGAAGGAAAGCGAATTAAATGCATGCTGTTGGAATTCAGAGCCATTCGTATCTCAAAAGTAACACGCTTTTGCGTTTCATTGTACCTCGGATCCACGAACGATCCATAGGGGGTACCACCGCACAAAGGCAATAAGAAGCTTATAATGCCTGTCACTATAATGCCTTCCTCACATGGCCGGCTTAAAGAAAAAAAAAAAGAGGATCCCATAACATAGATTCCTTTGCCGTCGGTGAGTCAAAAGGCCATGCAACCTGCGGAGAAACGCGAACTGATTCACCGTAGTCCACAAAGGAACCCTCAGCTAACGGCACATTTATGATCGTGTTAACGAAGTATAAATTTAACCTCGTTTTATCGTTTGTACAGAACGGGTGAGCCTTGGCGCTTCAAGAGGAAGCTGTTGACGCCAGCCTTTCATTTTCGTGTCCTGCACAACTACTTGCGCATTTTCAACGAGAGCGGCGACTTATTGGTGAGGCGCATCTGCTCGCTCGTCGATGAGACGCCCAATGAGCCCATACGCCTCTTCAAGATAACGCAGAAGTGCGCCATGGACATCATTGGAGGTGAGCACGGTGCATGCGGGAAACAACGGATGTTCACTGACAACTTAAGAAACACAGGGTGTGACTTGCTATAATTACACGCGTCGTGATCCGCTCTGAGGCGTTTTTATTGCCTACCCTAATCCCTCTGACTGTAGAACCATAATGATATGCGTGGGCGATGCCCGGCATTCCTAAGCCCTTAGTGAGCGTTTTGACAGAACCGTTCTGTTATCTGGAATGCGCCTTCCCTAGCCTGTTGCATGTTGAAGGGAAGCTTTCGGAAAAGTCTGAGTTTGGAGCACACTTCTATAGCGTTTGTCGTGTGAGTTCAGTTATCGCACTTCCCTTGGGCCGAAGTAAAACGTAAACCGCATTTATTATAAGACTATGCACAGCGATTGCCACCGGGCATGCGGTGATCCTTTCTGCCACCTGTTATATATCACCGCGATATTCGCGGTGAAAAACTCGTTAGGGGCGCTTGTGTTTTCCTCACTATATGAAAAGTTCACCTGCTACGCTCGTGGTTATGTTTTAATTTTCACAGTACATACAAGCTTGTCATTGCACGTGCTTGCGTCACCAGAGGAAGTTGAAGTATCCTCACTCTGGGTTGTGGAAAAATTCGACCTGGCGGCGATACCTAAAGTGTTCCAGTCTTTCACGTCCCAGCGAACTGCGACCTTTCTGTTCATAAAAAATAATGAACAAAGCCCACTTAAACACCGCCGCTAGAAACGTCGATGAAACATATAACCACAAATTCTCCAGGCGAACATCGAACGAACCAAGAAACGCGAGACCTGTTAATTGTTTTTCTAATAAAACTGTGAACCAACTTGTCTTCTCCAAGAAATTAATTAGATACATCCGAAAGCCCTCGCCAAATTTCTAACTTTGTAGTCCGTGTGGCATTTATGGTTTCTAGTACAGCTGACATAAGCAAACTCGAGAGGATTGTAGAAACGGAAAGACCGGAAGTCACTTGGGACGCAAGCAGCTCTTCATGTTTGTAAACAGTATAATGGTTTATACTCCGTCTCACCTTAGTGTGGACTAACCCAGAAGGCTGTGCAAGCGCGAGCGGCTAGCATTGACTGCCTTGACTGGAGCGCTCGCTGCACCAGCGCTCGTGCAGCCGCCGAGGCTTTGTCCAAAGAAACTATCTCGCACTTCAAGCATGCACGACTAACAACAGTCCATGCTAAGGTTGTGGGAACCATTGGGTTCCCTCTATCCCTATCCAGGCCTAGCTTCAAGCAGGCCGTGGGAGTCGTCGTCACCAATGGCGTCGGCCTCCCGGATACAAGGAACCACGAGGCCGAATTCCCCGAAGGGGCCGGCTCTCCCTTGCCCTTTTGGGTGAACGCGCCTTCGGCACACCCTTCAGAGTTATAATGGACGCGACTGCTAGTGGCCTCCCCGGGCGCGTCCATTCTCCGAGGCTACGTAAGCTGGCCCCGAAGGTGGGCCAGGGGGCTCTCGTCGGCGGAGGCCCTGGCTCTACGGAGCTCGGTTTTTGTTTGTGGGCCTCCGACTTCCCGTGAATCTGCCTAATGCGGCAGCGCGGGAAACCGACCGGGTGATACTGGCAATTAAGCCAGCGCCCAGACTTTTCATTGTCTAAGAGCGAAGCGTGCTGACATTGCAGTCAATAAACACGTCGTTATGCGGACCCGAGGAACCTTCTTTGTGTTTCTAAGTGGTACCCTCAAAGAGGAGAATCCCACATCTGGCGCCCCAACGTGCGGCTTTCCGTGGACTGCAATGACAGCAGCATTCATCTCCTTTCGCTAAGATAGCGAACCAGGTCAATTTCCGGCCAAGGATCAAACAGGTGGACAAAGGGAGAGGCGAACGCCCGACACCCCCTGCCACTCAACGGCTCAGTAGCCACGCCACGTCAGCCACACAGGCACAATGAACAAGTGTCTCGGCCGAACGCCTTCCCAAACGGAGGTGACTCAACACCCGGAATACGTCCGAGGGATTCCCTTTCGGGACGACGCCAGCCTACTTCGCTGGGGAGGCGCACCTGCGCTTTTCGAGGTCAAGCCCGTTCTCGAACAAAGCACGGTGACGCAACACGAAGCAAGTGCAGCTTTTTGCCTTCGAGACGGCTCGCGGGGCCCACACAGAGTGGACACCCCGTCAGCGCACAAACTAAAAGCGTATCTCGGAGCGAGAAAATGCGCTGTGCCTGCAACACCGGTCCCAGTCTAGCGAGGTTGCGGAGACCGCCGATGGTGCCCTTCGTCGCCGCGTCGACGGACCAGTAGCCATCAGGTTGACCAAGCGACCCCGGAACAAAGGCCCCCCGGAAAAACTGAGTGAGTCAAAATGATTTCCTTTTTACTCCGTCTTTCCTTCCCGCTATCAAGGGACAGAGGACTGGCGTGAGCATGGCTTTCGGCTACTAGAATGTAGTATGTTCCGTTTACCCGCGATCGACTCGGGCCAAAAGTCAGTGAGCGTCGCACGCAACAATAACGTTAGGAACCCTTGAGGGCCACCTATCAAGTTGCAACCCCGTAAAAGCGACGTTAAATGTGAAAACGCCGCGGGGTCCGGGAGCAGTTCAATCGTGCTACCGGACAGTGCAACAGGTTGAACAGCGTCCCGGGATGATTGCGTGTCCGACTAAGGTGACCGCCACGCGGTCACTGGACGAGATCGTGAGCCGCGGAACTCGAAGTGTTCGTTGGGAATCGACGGTAGCACCGATGAGTTTTTGATGCCCAGCAGAACGATCCGGGGTGTAAATATGTGAATAGTTGTAAATATTTTCGCGGACTCTGCGGAGTCGGGCGGTGCGTCCGCCGGGCGGTACGCTCGCCACTAACGTCGCTAAGCAACTCGTATTGTTGCAGACGGGCTTTGGCAGCCGGGCAGCGTACTCGCCGGGTCGAGCAACTCGTGTTGTAGCCGATCGGTGCCGTAAATAGTCTGGTATTGCTATTGGCACGGGGTTTCTTTTTTTTATTTGGGATCGGTTTCTGTTCTTGCTGTTGCGGATAAACTCGTGCTACGTCGCTTGGCCTCTACGAACACTGCAGTTCACGGTGGCTGTCCTGCGCGGCTGGGAGTTGCATTTGGTGCTCTCCTTTGTTCGCGTTGGCCAGGGCAGCACGCGGCTCCAAGACTTTTCGAAGTTAGGTCGCTGTGCTATACCTGGCCACAGGCATTTGTGTTTTAGCCAAAGGTAAAAGCTAACATGTTTGAAAAATAACAATGTTGGCGAGCCTGCCCGATTGCAGCCCTGCATCGTTTCAATATCACAAGAAAGGACAGGGTGGTGCATTTGACATTTCATTGCGCCCGCAAATCGAAGCGATTAGGCATCGTTAGCAAAAGCAGCTACAAAGGACTTTGCCTCGTCGAACTGTCACCAACAAATCCATTGTCCGGGGTGATACGAGTCAGCTTGGTATGTGGACATCCGTGTTCACATTAAGCGGAGTCGTGGAACTATTTTCACAATAACTTCGCGAGCCGAGCCAGTGCGATGCACGTGACTCACGGCAGAAAAGACATCTTTGTCTCTGCCTCTTTTTTATCTCTGGGGCCTTGTGCACCCAGAGATTGGTCGAGTGTCCTCAGTTGGACGGCTCCACCTTGCTCGGAATGTCCGAAGCTTCCTTCTTGGGGAACGAAACGGGAGAGGGGGCAGAGTGCAGGCTGCATTCCAGTGGCCGGCGTTTCCTGACTCATGGGGCCACATCGAGGTGGCATCGACGCCAGGGAGCGTCATCGTCGCCGCAGGGTCGGCGGCCTGCGTGTCCAGATCCGGCTCGTCGGCTGCTGGCCAAGATGGCGGCAGCCATCCTCCCGCTGCCCGGACTCGTCCTCAGCCCAGCAACACGTGGCATCCAGTCGCGGACCCAGGCTGTGGACCCGTGCCGACAGCAAGCAGCTCGCATCCCGTCACGCACCCAGTGACAGTGCCCGTGCCACTTAGTGCGTCCCCCAGGAGAGATGCCCAGCCGCCGTACTTTCTGTGATTCTTCGAACATTTCGTCATGGAGTGTCCGGGCCGTCCTTCCTGCACAAGCCAGGCCACTACACGGACATTGCAACGCTACTCCCGGTAAGCCTGCCAAGAAGCGTGGGCTGCAGAGTTCGGCTGCACCCGGGGTCCACTGTCAAGCAGCGAGCTAGAGTTTTCAGCATGTACCGCGCTGATCGTTTTTTTATTTCTTTACTTTTCTTCGCGGCATGCTCTTTCGCTCTAGCGTTTCGTTTTTTTTTATTTTGTTTTTGAGAGCCGGTAGGCCATTTTATTTTTAGGCCTACCTTAGCCTTGAGAAGGGGGGAGTGTGGGAACCATTGGGTTCCCTCTATCCCTATCCAGGCCTAGCTTCAAGCAGGCCGTGGGAGTCGTCGTCACCAATGGCGTCGGCCTCCCGGATACAAGGAACCACGAGGCCGAATTCCCCGAAGGGGCCGGCTCTCCCTTGCCCTTTTGGGTGAACGCGCCTTCGGCACACCCTTCAGAGTTATAATGGACGCGACTGCTAGTGGCCTCCCCGGGCGCGTCCATTCTCCGAGGCTACGTAAGCTGGCCCCGAAGGTGGGCCAGGGGGCTCTCGTCGGCGGAGGCCCTGGCTCTACGGAGCTCGGTTTTTCTTTGTGGGCCTCCGACTTCCCGTGAATCTGTCTAATGCGGCAGCGCGGGAAACCGACCGGGTGATACTGGCAATTGAGCCAGCGCCCAGACTTTTGATTGTCTAAGAGCGAAGCGTGTTGGCATTGCAACCAATAAACACGTCTTTATCCGAACCCGAGGAACCTTCTTTGTGTTTCTAAGTGGTAACCCCCAAAAAGGGCGAATCCCACAAGGTGAAACGAAGTGCGTCCTGGTATCTCAAACGGTTCTGCCTGAGCTTGTAGCTCGGCCGAGTCTCATGCCGCTCGAACACAATGCGCAGCTGCGACGTCGTCAACACCTGCACACGACAGGAGTTCGCTTTCTTTAGTTCAATGTAAAATATTATACACATTAAAAAAAATTTCCAGACGCCTGCTTTCTCGCCGCTCAAGTGGTTAGTCAACAGCTCTTATTTAGGAAGCGGAGCATGGCGAGCATGAGTAGGAGCTGAAAACTGCTCTACTCCTAAATGCGATCTGCGGAGTAACATCGAGCTCGTGACCACGTCGTGCTCGTTGTTCCGGCTGAAATTGCTCAGGGACATTTTTCTTAATGCGAATGCCTTACTTGCCCCATTAAACGACAGATCGGAGTAACTGACCACAAAAATGCAATTGAGCGGCACTCGCCGCTCAATCGTATGCTCAAAAACGACCCTCGTCCAGGCGGTCATCCTACACAATTATCATCCTTACACCCTTGAGGGTGTAAATGGATTGTCCTCTAACACCCTCCATGGTATAGCAAAACGCCCTAAGAGAAGGGCCTTATTCCTAACACCCCTAAAGGAAGGAGTTCAACCGAAAACCCTAAAATTAAGGTGTGATTCCACAGTACATCCTTTTATTAGGCTGTTATCACTGCACTGTACGCCCTCTAAATTGGGTCTACCACCGCCAGAAAGGGAATTAACAAAGGTGCAATGACCAACACCCATAACATAAGGTGTAATAACCCAAAATATTGCACGAAGAAATGACTGCAAATGAGTAGAAACATACCTTGTTCACTTTTTATTTTCGATCGAAATTCTACCAGGTTTTACTAAATTTTCTATAGACGATTACAAGCGGGTCAGCTGGCCGCAGCCATGTCTCTGCTTGTGCGGGCAAGTGGATGCAATCTCAAGCTTTCCAAATGGTCAAACTACGTTTGCGCGCACGTCATCTAGCTTGGCCAAGAATCAACTAAAAGAAATACTTGCGTTTTGTCCTCGCAATTTCACCACGACCAAAACGCTTCTTAGTCAGTGGTGGTCCGTGCGGGTTATACATGGGCCAGACTAGAACCATTACGCCTCTGTAAGATCATGAACATTACAACCTGATATTGTTTCACGACCCCTTTAAATTGTACAACCGAAGGCACTAGTTCAATCTCCAACTTTACTTTTCGTGCAGCATTTATGCTTTCTAGCACTGGTTACGTAAACAAAACTCAACAGGCTTGCAAAGACGGAACAACAGGGAGTTGCTTGGGACGCAAGCTGCAGTTCATGTTTGTAAACAGTAAAATGGTCTTTAGAGACGGAGGCAGGACTCAGAAGCTTGCTTGCAGGGTACTTACAAATAAAACAGCGATCTCATGTGATCCGTGATAAACGCATAATCCCCGATTCGGGCAGCACAGAACAATTCGCAAACATAATGTCGAGGATGAAGGTGGTCGATTATATTCAACGGAAGTCTCGTGGCCGCCGATCAGCACTTCTTTTTCGAAACGCGTCCAACAAACACAGCACAATAATTTCATAAACTCCGACTAAATAAACGGCGATTACAAAAAATTTGGCATATAGGTATTCCGGCCGTTCACGACGAAAAACCACGGCCTTCTACACGAAAAAACCACGGTCGCGAAATGAGACTCGTCAGGACTAGGGTGTCTACATGTTTCCCCTCTGCTTTAGGGTGGCGCCAACCTCTTGTTACACCTTCCCAGATCCTCTGCCAGCGCCATTTTTTCCCACTTTTTATGTCGCTAAACGTAAAAAACGTTGAGTTTCTGTAGTCTCGAAACACCGGCAACACTGTGAAGATACTTCCATTTCCGTTCATATAGAGGAGTCGGAGGCTCTGCGGGATGGCGGTGGTCGGGGCTGTCGCTCTCTTTATTGGGCTTTTCATATCTTGAAGTTGCAAGTAGGAAATGTGCGTTGCTCTTAAAGAAAACGCGAGTTTTCGCGACAATATGGAACGCAACAGACCGGCATTGAACGCCGAAACCTCGCCGTCGGAACGAGAGCGGTGAGCGCTACCTAGCCCTAACGAGGATTAGCCGGTGAAGTGCGAGCTAACCTTCACACTGTCACACTGGCCGGTCGTGCGAGCACACGACCGGCCAGTGTGACAAAATGTTCGACGAAAACCGCGGAGGTCGCCATGGTGACGAGGTAGGCAACGCTGGTTTCTCGGCAACAGGTATCACAAACGTTGTCGCCACCCTAAACTACGGAGCGGCGGAAACATGTAGGCACCCAAGTCAGACCCTGCTTGCACGAAAAACAGGAGAGCACTGACGGGCGCTTTTTGATAACCGGACCTACGTGGTCCCTACAACTCACCATAACTTGGCAAACGGCGAAGGCTATGACCCCAGTGAGACCATTACCTCAACCCTAATTCAGTTCCCCCGCTAAATATAGTGGGGAAAATAACGTCGCGACTTCGTGTCACGTTACCCATGAACAAATTAAGCGGTAGGAGGAGAGGAGGACGAATGTAGGAGGAGGAGGGGAGGGTACCAAGGATGAGAAAGGGCCTACCCTCGCCTTCGTACCCTCCCTCCTCCCCCTCAAGAGTTGAGCTCTAGTTTTGTAAACGTCTTTCCTTTTTTTGTTTTGTCTTTCTTAGTTAATGGTTGTTTTGTCTTTCTTAGTTAATGGTTGCTTTTATCTTTCAGAAGTTACGATGGGAGCAAAACTACAGCTGCAAGAAAACAAGAATCTCTTCTTCATGAAATCTTTCAATCGGTACGAGTAGCATTCAACCTTGCATTTATGTTCTTGGTATACCACAGAAACTGATCCACCTTTCGATGGATCGCAGTGGAAGTTCACCAAACAAACCATCCAAGCCAATCCAGCACTCTGAACTATCACGTGATTATGCACCCCTCGAATTGCTGCACCCCTCACAAAGGTCACGTGAAACACCCACGTCGGTTGATTGGCTTCCCTGGCTTGGAGCTCTCCCTGCGGTTAACAGTAGTCTGAAACAGAGTATATAGAGTTTCTGCTGTACGGAACTTGCATCTAAGGATTTAAAAAAGCTCTCTTGTTTTTCTCTTCTATTTTTTTAGGGCGATGTTCCTTCTTTCAGTCAGATTTGGCACACCATGGCTCTGGATTCAAAAGATATATGACATTTCGCGCGGGGGAAAAATATTCATGGCGGACCTTGGAAAAATGAGGGAACTCACTTACTCAGTAAGAAACTTTGACTTCTGTTACTTTTATTAAGATAACTCAAAAAAAGAAGAACGTAGTGTTGCCTTCATGTAACAATTTTCTAATGCGTGTCTGTACGTTCATTTGTAGTCCACAAGTGCTACTACAGACGTAGCTTAGCCAAATCAAGCGTGTTTAATAACAAATAAAATTTAGTTTCGGCATTTTTTTTCTAACAGTCACCACTTTGTAGACGATAAATACAGATACAGTTTAGATATTACTTAAACTAATACGGATTTTGATATTATATGTGCGAAGTACTACTATACCTGAGGTATGTGACACATCCGTAGCGTGACATCTAGTTTGGAGTTTTAAATTAAATTACGTATACTCCTAGTGCCTCTCCTAAACAGGTATTGCGTTAAAATCGTTATTTAAACTAATCTTACAAGCGCGTTATTTAAACTGATATTCTTGCATCCACAATTGCGTATCAGCAGTTACGACTACAACTTCCATAGGGACACTTGAGTGATTACGTTCGTGGTTCTTTCTAAAAACAAGGTTATGCGGAGGCGAAAAGAGAAACTGCAGTCCACTGAAATCATCCCGAAATCTGGATCTGAAGAGGAGGAATTCAATTCAGGAGGCGAGACGTCGCTGATGAACAGGCTCCTGCAAAAACATATTCAAGACAGTAGTTACACGTTGAGTGACGTCAGAAACGACATCGACACAATCATTGCCGCAGTAAGTAAGCGCTACAAGCTCGTCTTGCTCTTCTAAAGCTTCCAACGACTGTAATATGCAGCCAAATAGGCTTCCCAATGGAGGAGCGTGCTCCATAGAGTCATCTGATTGTTCGACGGCTCGCTGAGTGCAAGATACGTATTGTCGACAACACGCGACCCTTGCCATTTCAGGGCAACGACACAACCACGACATGCATGTGTTGGACACTGCACTATCTCGGACTTTACTCCGAGGTCCAGGCAAAAGTGCACCGGGAACTCGATGAAGTATTTGGGAACGACAGAGAGGGCGAAATCACAGCAAGTCACCTTGCGCAACTGAAGTATTTGGAGTGTTGTCTAAAGGTTTGGGCGATTTCTTCTTTGGTTTATTGATTAGCATTTTGCTCTTTTGTCATACAAGCAGTCGTATATCATAGTTTCGTTTCAATGACAATTGCAATCACAACTTTCAGGAGGCTCTGCGGTTATATCCGTCGTTTCCTATGATCGGAAGGGTGCTTGATGAAGAACTCGAAATGGGTAAGCAAACTAAGCACCTGAAGGCAATGCAAAGTCGATTCAAGGTGTCATATTCTAATTTCTGTAGGTCATACCCTCCTTTTTCCCACAAATCTTCCGGCCGTCATTACGAAACACATGCTAATTCGCTGGAGAGTGAGGCAGAGTATCGTCCTCGTCTCTTTATCGCGCGCATGGGGCCCTGGCTGGTTGCACCGCATCTTTCTGATGCCTCGCAAGAGGAAAGGCAGGACTGGAGAGGAGAAATATGAACAAAAGCGACGACGGCAACTAAGACTGTCACATGACGCTTGAAGACAGTTATCTAATTTGAGTTAATTAGTTAAGAATTCAATTAGCTTTGCCTCTAATGGCAGCTCTACTGGGTTCCGTAAACATGCGTCGAAGACCGTCTTTATAAAAATTGCTTCCTCTTTAAAAATAAACTTTTGCTACAATTAAAACGAAGCACGCCATGTAGATCTACGCATTTGATATTAAATGGCACAGCCAACATATTAACGAAAATGCATGCAATTACATTGTTTGTTCCTTTTCTGTTCTTTTTTTCTTTTATAAATACATTTTATGTCGCACCCCATTCTTCCTTTTCTTCTTTTTTTCAGAAGGCCACGTTATACCAAAGGGTGTGATGTGCTTCATAGGTATTTATAGCCTTCACAGAAACCCGAAGTATTTTAAAGACCCCGAGAAGTTCATGCCTGAGAGATTCCTTTCTGACGAGATCAGGACACGACACCCGTTCAGCTACATTCCTTTCTCTGGAGGCTCCAAGAACTGCATCGGTACGGAAACGCTTCTGTCCATCTGCTTGGTCGAAGCTGCCTCGTCGGCACTTGGTCACATTGTTAGACTTAGTCCAAAATTGGTAAAATAATCAACAATAACATTAAAATTATCACGAATGGAAAGGGGGTTTAATGTGTTTATAAAAACAGAAAACAAACGTTTAATCAAACGAACTGCTGCCTTTTAACTGAAACGGAAATGTATCGCACACCCTGCGATGGTGACGAAAGGGTGAGTGACTCTATTATTTCGTGCGTCTTTTTTGTTTCTTTTTTTAAAGTATATAAGATATGTATTGAAAGTTTGAAAATCTTTTTGAAGATTAAAATAAAGTTTCAAATAAAACTAATTTATTCATTTATATTAAAGTCAACGGTGCTGTTTGTTCCAGTTTTTCACCCTATTCTTAAAGGTTTGTGTGTTCTATTTTTGCTTTTTCAACTATGTTTCTTTTTACCTGTGGCGTTTTTATAAACCCACAGGTGAATGAGCTCGGCTGACTCGTCTGTGCATTTGTCAGCGCTAGACGCTTGTGGGATTCAGCATTGACGAAGACAGCAGTTACTCTTCCCGCATTACAGCGGTTCCACCAGAAGGTCCTGGGGAGTCACTGAGTCATCAACCACTAGTCACCAATGCAGGAGTGGGGAGAAAAAAGCTAGGGCACGCGCCAACTGAAAAATGCGGGCTTCAAAAGGGTGGTGAGCTAGGCTAGGTATGCTGATGACATGTCGAACATAACAGCGCACAAAGGACAAGACAAATCACAAAATGGAAGGAACAGCACTAGTGTATCTTGTGTTTACCTTTCTTTTGTTCATGTCCTTTGTGCGCTGTTATATTCAACATATAGGGGCTTCTGTACACGCTAATATGCGACTACGGCCTCAGATAGCTGAGTGATACGGCCAATAGTCAATCCCATAGTCGCTGACAAATTAAGAAACACAGTGTGTGGATTATTATGTTCATGTGTATGCTCAGCGTCATGCTCGGAATTCGACACACCTTGTGCTTATTAATCTAGCCTATCCTAACCTAACCTAACCTAACCTAACCTAGCCTAATCGAACCCAATTCATCTAAACCTAACTCAACCCGGTCTAACCTAGCCAGCAATATTTTATTTATTGGGCTATAGTCAAACCTATCACACCTGAGCTCTTGCAATTTTGGATTTAGATAAATCAGAAGTTCGTGTGTTTCTTCACCTCGTCTTTGTCGTTTCAACTGTTTTTGTTTTATTATTTTCCTGTATAACGATTACCAACTTGCCGAATTCGCTATGTTAGTACAGTACTTCACCTCATTCTTGTTTAATAGTTTTAAACATTATTGAATGTGGGACTGTGTTGCCGGAATGTTCAACCCTCGTTCGTTTATTTTCAGGCCAGAAATTTGCCATGTTGGAGATGAAGCTGCTGATGGCGAAGGTGCTTCGCGAGTGCAAAATTGTCTCCTCGGAACCCCTAGAGAGTCTCGATGTGGCCTACGAAATTATTGTGAAGGATATTGGAGGTAACAAAGTGTGGGTACAAAGACGAACATGAATACACTCACCCGAGCGATGAACGCCCAGTCGCATTCAAATACCATCCTTCGCCAACTGTCAAAGCAATCCTCTTCAGGGATACCTTTTTTTATTATATTTAAATAAAAACCCCACACTTATAATTTCCAATTGATTCTTGATCAACAGCTTTTCCTCGATAACCCCCCTCTTTTTTCTTTTCCTACGCCATAATAAATATTGTCCTGTTAATATTTTCTTCAAGCATAACATCGTTCATCAGATGAACGCGAATGAAACAATCAGTCTTAGACAAATTGTAGCGCAACCATGCTAAAATAAAATTATTATAAAGATGATTCACGTGACATGTCCATCTGCAAAAGTTGGAAAAAAGATTCAAATCGGAGATGACTCAGTTGCACAATCAGTGAACGTTAATATGCATGGACAGCGTGACGTAGCGGAATTCCTGTGACATCAAGGGAATATCATATTTTGTTCGTCGTGTTTTATCAAATATATATATATAAAATGCATTGTTTTTCACCAACTGAAAATATGCTTTTCAAAAAATAAACAGTATTAAAAGAATAACATATACAGGGTGTCAGAAAAGAAAATTTACACGTTCTTTTTACCGCAAAAATAAACTATGCATCGCCGAACGCCAAAGATAGCGCTAGAAGTCACAACCAGATGCCAAATTTTCAGCCCGTTCCGATAACTTAATCAAAAGTTATAACTGATTTTCTGAAAATTTCAATTGGAAAATGGTGGCCGACGGAGTTTTCAAACACATGGGGCTCTATGGAACCAAAAACCGAAAACGGACAAAAATTGGCTCCATTTTCTCATTGAAATTTCCAGAAAATTACTTATAACTTTTTATTAAGTTATCGGATCGGGCTGAGACTTTGGCATCTGGTTGTGACATCTAGCTCTACCTTTGGGCGGAGAATGAGCGGTCGGCGATGCCTAGTTTATTTTTGCGGTAAAAAGGACCGTGCGAATTTTCTTTTGTGGCGCCCTGTATTTATACCGGGTGTCCGAAATAGAGGCCAAGATCTATAAATCGACTGCAAAATTCGGTTTCTTAACCTATCGCGCTACGATTTTGTGCAGTGTTGCCTACATAAGCTGCTTTTTTTATTTTGTAAAATGTGCAAAGGGCGAATTTACCTGGGGAAGAAGTAAAGCAAGAATAAGGCTTAGCTCCTTAGAAAACGGAGCGACGTTGACGGTTTTTAAACCATACGGCGCCGTTTCGTACGGGAGACAAGAGATGGCGCAAGCCGTCGCGACGCCAACTGCTGCCAACGAACGAGCATGCGGCGCCGAGAACCGGCGTCATTAGCAGACGATCTTTTCGACTCAAACGCGGCGCGCATTCCGCAGGTGGTGACAGTCGCAGAAGCAAAAACAGGCGCAATAAGAACAAGGAACTGCAGAGCAGAAGACATAAGTACCACGAAAAAACAGTTAAAATAACCCGACAAACTATTTTTAATCGATTATGTGTCCATTCATTGTGTTTTATTGGTAAGGATGATAAAATCATGCATTGGCAAGTGATATGAAAAAGGCTCGCGCCGCTTTTGAGTCGAAAAGATTGTCTGCTAAAGACGCCGGCTCTCGGCGTCGTATGCTCGTTCATTGGCGGTAGTTGGTGTCGCGACCGCTTGCGCCATCTCTTGTCTCCAGTGCGAAACGGCGCCGTGTTGTTTGGAGAGCGGTGGCTTCGCTGCGTCTCCCTAGAAGCTCAGCTTTTTTTCTTCCTTTACTTTTTCCTCAGGTAAATTCGCTCTTTGCAAATTTTACAAAAAAAAAAAAGAATTTGTGGGCTATGCTGCACGAAATTGTAGCGCGATAGATTAAGAAACCGAATTTCGCAGTCGATTTAAAGAGCCGGCCGCTACTCGGGACACCCGGTGTATATATATATATAGAGAGAGAGAGAGAGAGGAAGGGAGAGAGAGAGGAAGACTCTATCGTGGGGCTTTTGAAGGAGCCAAGTGTTTTGAACTAGCATAATCCATTAACGTCATGGGCCACGTGTTGTAGCTAGGGAGTGTCAATAATTCGACTCAAGTAACCAGTCTTGAAGAAAGTCTGTTTCAGGCTGAAACGTCGACAAACATTACGAACAATATGTTATAATACTCCAAACAACCGTCTGGTACGTTTTCTGCCGTACAAATATATATATATATATATATATATATATATATATATATATATATATACGACTATGTGTTTTTGTAGAACGGTCTCAACCGTGGCCAAATTCAGGTGTTGAGACTAAAGTAATTTTTAGCAAATTAATTACCTGAAATTGTGTAATTAACGTTAAGGATACTCGCCTTTGGCAGAATTTTAGGATGGTAAATTTTTTACCCATTGTAAACATATGTCATTTCTGATGTTTGAACTCCGACAACAAAATACGTTTTGCGCTATTTATTCTCTTGGAACATTAAGCCCCATACAAAGTAAAATACCAAAACCAGGGTGCAAGACATCTCGCGAAGAGCAACCTGGAAGCCTATTGAAACTTCCTCATGGAGAAAATCTAGGGCCCTTTTTGGCCGATTTGAACGTCTCGCTCTTTCGCAAGCAGGAGACGACGGTGGCCCTTTCGCGGTCGTCGTTTGTTGAATGAGATATAAGACAGCTCGCGACAGTCAACAGAGCAACGCTGACGGTGACGTACCTTGTTGACAACCACCGAGGACGGCGGCGTCAAGGTGTCGGATGACGACATTTTGGCGGTAAACAAGAGTAGTTCTGACGGCAGAAGAAACCCAACACCGCGTGGTGGAGCGCTAAAAGCGTCGGTCTGCGTAGCACACAAATCCGCGAGCAGAAACACAACGCAATGAGAATGGCGTCCGTTCCGCTAGGGCCGTAAGCCAGCGAGCAAATCTCCAGAGCCAGCATCCGTGTAGGCGTGACAAATGGCACCTGTATACGCATTCGCCAACCCCCGGAAGCGACACTGGCCTCCGTAGCGGGCGACCACCAGGCTACCACGATGCCCGCTGACGTGACGTCGGTGCAAGTCATAGATTGTCAACGACGACAATATGAATGACACGTGCAGTGATATATTTTAATTCCTGGTCTGTACCGGAACCACTGTCGAAAAGTACCGTGGCGACGTGAGCGATCGGAAGTGTCGCTGTGGTCGGCCTTCCACAATTGGCCCAAAAGCTGACTATGACGTCGGAAGGGGTATACAATCGACGGAAATAAGAGGAATGAAAGAACTTTAATTTCGACGATGTTGGCAGTGTTGCTTTGAGAGCGCATTGATTTCAGGCTTCCACCATGTTATTTACAAACACCATCGAACTAGTTGTTCGCAAGGTAATGACGTCACAAGGGGGAACCATAGGAGGGCGCCACCAAAACATCTCGCCGCAAATTGCGAAATATAAAGCGATACTTCGTTCAACCTTAGCATGGACTATTGTCAGCAGCGCATGCTAAAAGCGCGAGCTAGTTGTTATGCATGAAACATCGGCGGCTACACAAGGGCTCGTGCAGCGAAAGCTCCAGTCAAGGCTGTAAAGTCTAGCCACTCGCGCTTGAACAGCCGACGCCGTTAGTCCAAAAGGGAGACGAAGTAAAGGTGCCGCCGATACAAAAACTTCCCAAACCTCTTTGTATTGTTTCATTTAAAGAGCCTCTGAAAAGAAGAAAAGAAAATAGCTTTTTTTAAACCGTGACGTTGGGACACGCGCAACAAAAAATTAATTTCACACACAAGAAAAAAATTAGAGCAATATTGACGGCGCGAGACGTGATTTAGTCGGTAGTCACGCCTTTTCCACTTGTTTTCTCTCCTGGCATTTCCGGCGCGTGGAGGCGAGGTGGATTGGCTTCGCCTTCACGTTGAGGTGGAAAGAGCGAATTACCATCTCGTAGAGCAAATGGCCATCCCGTGACGTCATGGACTTTGCGCGCAGGATTTCAAATAGATTCCTCGCCGTCAGTATTGTTCTAATTTCTTTTTTTTTTTTTCGCGTAAAATGTTTTTTTTTACGCGCGTGTCCCAGTTAGACTGTTTTAAAAAAGAACAGTTTTTTCATGGGCTCTTTAAATACAATTCCTACCTTTTACGCATCAAACGTTTCTAAAACATAATGTTTCTACCACGTGTCAGACGAAAGAAAAAGAGCACCACGTGACGTGGCTTGCGATATGACGGGAAAGCCTCAGCTAATTCGGGAATAACCCCGGTATTCCTCGCACGCGCAAAAGAACGTGTAATGCTTTGAAGAAAAGCGAGAGTGGTAATTTTCATTGTTTGCTTCACAAAAAAAGGACAACAATAAATAAAATCTAGCAACGTCTAAGTACAGCCTTTTATGTCCAGGAAAATTGCATAACGTGCCGTCCAACGTTTTGCTAGAAAAGCAACTCCGATTCTTCTCTTTTTTTTCTTTTTTTTTAAGTTTGTGTTTTGTTTTTTTGTTTTGTTATTTTGCTATAATTTGATTTTAAATCGTGCAAAAACAAATAATGCCTTTAATAACTTTCCGCCAAAATATATATCTTGGCGGAAAGTATGTGACGGGAATTAAACTGCAAATTAGAACCATGGAAACGTTTTTGTCCTTGGGTTTTGGGTTTCGAAAGGGCGGAAGGTAGGTCTTGCGATTTTTGCAGCTTTCACGAGTTGCAGATTTTCGGGTCTCTTCATGATCATATAATCTTTTTCGCATTAATTATAACTTTATTTACTGCGTTAACACTTAAAATAGAAGGGTTAAAGTTATCAAAAAGTGTGACTTTCATTTTATTTTATGAAATAAATCGTTTTGAATCTTGTATCTTCGACACCAACAGGTCGAGGGTAGAAAACTGGGCAAGTTGGTATTAAAACGCGCAACAAGTCGATGGACACAGAAGAAGACACAGACACAGCGCTACCTACAACCGAACTTTATTTCCGTTGCAGCTCGGTATAAATTACCGGCAACAACACAAACAAGTTAGGAAAGATACACATCGTAAAAGTCATGAAAAGGCTAAAAGTCCTGCACCACTGATGGGCACCAGCCCAAAACGTTTGAACCAAGGGGGAACGAGCCAATCCTCCTATTCGCGTTGGCGCACTCAGAACCCTTGAAGAGGGGGATAA